TGCGACAATACGATTACAATTGGCCCATTACTTGTATCATTAAATACAGGCCATCGAGCAAGTTCGTGACCGTAGAACTTTGCCAATATCGAAACTATGGACAACTAGTGCACTCAGCTGTTGTCCTTTCAAACTGATACTGTAGCTATTTTCGTCGGCCCACTCCACTGTGAGTGCCTATCTATAGCAATCATTGTCGCTACCCTTGTTTACCGAACTTGTCGGGAAATCTTTGTCAGGATTTTTATTTTGTTTTTATCTTTGTAATTCGTTTGAGTTCGTGTGCGACTTGTGGGTGTGATTTTGTATCTTTTAAACGAACCTATGGCACAGTAGACAATTCTAGTGAGAATGTGAATAAAACTTATAAATGATGATAATAATTATTACCGACGTCTGATGGTGATATCGGCATCATCAGCCTAATTCTATGTTTTCTGGTCATTTTTAGTATGGCTTGTTTACAGCACGTCTGTAACCTTGATTTTTATCTTTTTTGTGTCCAACCTTTTGGTGGCTATCACCACTAGGTACAATACGTTTTCCCAGACCGACACCCCATGTGCCGTTTGGCCAATTCATTTACTCTTTCGGCCTGAAAATACTTTAAAATTATCGTAAATAAAAACTGAGAAGTTGTTTTGTTGCTTACAACAAAGAATAGCCTTCATCGTAAATTACAGCGTGGTATGATATTATGAAACTACAAATAGATTTACTGTATCTAATGAAAAACTTAACAGCAGTTACCGTAATGACAGGACTTGTCGAAGAAACTGTGCCGCAATAATGCTACCATTTTCCTTGTTGAAACTTTTTTACCAAGACATTAACACTCTTCGGAAACTCTTGAAAATGTCCACTTAGAAGTAGTTTCAATAAAAGTATTTAAAAATAAACCACATACGTACCTACCTGCTTTTGAAATATTTTCAAAGAAAAATAGCGTACACTTTCTTTGATTTTCTCATAAATAAACGATTGTTTTGAGTATTTAGAAGTAGGTAGCGTGTATAGAATACAGTTATCACGAAGGAGTTTCTATAACAACTTATTCTAAGTGTATGTTTAATAATATTGTAGATACATCATCTATTACTATTAGCCATTAGTTACATGTTCTAAGCAAGGTATTCAGTGCCGCATAACTCGATAGTTTGACAGTCTCTTGGGGACAGGAATGCAACATTATTGATTTCGATCACCGTGTTAGCTATAAATGACGTCATCGAGTTTTGTTCCACCAGGCAATACTAAACAAAAGGTCAGAGTTGACGCATTACAGCTAACATAGGCAAATAAAACAATAATTTTATGTGAATTCTGAAAATCATAAATTTCTCAGAAGTTATTCGATTGGGACAAGGCTCAAAAAATTGTATATTGTTTTCTAAGTAATGGAGAATTGGGCCATATTACTATTATAAACAGAGTTTCAGTTAACATTTAAACAAAATAATTCACAGACAGTTTTACAAAACCTAACATTTCATTAATGAATTCATTAGCCAAAAGCATTTAGCTAATGACATCATTACCTAATGACCGTTTGAGTTATACATATAGCCAAACCCTAATGTTTTAAATATATGTTTCTCTTGCGACCCATATGACCTTAATCCACGCGCGTTGTAAAAATATAGCTTTATAAAACAATATTTTATAGGCTATATGTGACACATCAGCAGTACCTACCTAATTTAAAAAATTAAGGAAAGTACTTAAAAATTCATTGCATTATACCACGTTACTCATTTGATGACGCGAAGGTACACTTTTTTTCTAGAAGTAAAAATCATCAATTGGCTTTTCTCGCCTAGGGTATGGCGAGAAGACAGGGAGTGTCAGACTCTTACTGACTTAATAATTCATTCCTCTGCTGCCGCCGATCACTTTCTAAAGAACACTGCCTTTTACTCGTATACTAATTTTTCTTTAATAATATAAACACCTTATCGTACACTATTAAAATCATTAATGCCTTACTGTTCATAGGACTTTCCTGGCTCTGCTTTTCGAAATTAAGATTGGAGCTTTCATTGTCTTAGGACCACTTTACCGATTTTTTTTGTTTTCACGTCCTTTGTGGGGTGGGAGGGAGTGTCTGACTCTTACTGTCTATAAACTCCATTATTTAATCCAAGGCGTAGGTCCTGATACCCATTAGTTTATATGGCAATTAGTGTACACAAATTGTGTCCTATATTCTTATATGAAAGATAGTGGCTATCAACATTGTTAGACGAACCCTAAGACTGGTGGGTTACATAGGATGGGTTGCAGGAGTAAGCTCAATAATGCAATGCGGCCCTAGCCTGGACCAGGTCAAGGAAACGGAGTAGTTTTTAGTCAGTAAGAATTTGACAATCTCTTTCGTCCCACCCAGATCGAGAATATTCATTTGATTATATTCCACCGTAAGAAGAATACTAAGTATCTATGTAAGTACATCTTAAAACAAAATCCATTAACAATCATTATTCAAAGAATAAGTTACGAGTTAACAATTAAACGTGACAGGTACACAACAGTCACTTTATTTATAGTGAGCGGTGCCATAACATTAGTGAATTAAACTTATGGCACGCAGCCACTTAAACATATTAAATGTCAGCACATTAATTATATTGGAATGTTAAACAAATCACGCCAAAAGCGACACCTAGCAGGTGGTTACTGCTTATTCCGAACTACCATCAAACGGACAAACGATTATATTAACATATTAACATCAAAATCTTTGATTTCACTTAATTAATATATACATAGGTAATTTTAACGTACGAGTTAGCTTTTTCCTTTTTTAATGTGATAGGGCGGCAAACGAGCAGACCTATAACCTGATGGTAAGCAATCAGCGCCGCCCTTGGACACCCGCAACAACAGAGAAGTTACGAGTGCGTTGCAGACCTTCTGGGGATTAGGGATTTGGAGATTTAGGGATTGGGGGAAGGATCAAGTCTCTGGTAACCTCACTCACGCGGCGAAACACAACGTTGTGGTTGTTTCACGTCGGTTTTCTGTGAGGCCGTGGTATTATTCCGGTCGAGCCGACCCATTTGTGCCGAAGCATGGCTCTCCCGCACTTCCTTTTAGGTCGTTCTTTCTGTTTCTACAAATATGTTCTAAATTTGGTTGATAATCTGTTACAGTGTTTATTCTTGGGTTAAATGGCAATGTTTATTCAAATTAGATAAAAGTCTGATGTAAGTCACTTAAATAAACTAAAAGATAAGGCAGTGAGAAGGAATTTCATTACGTACTTAATAGTACCTACTAAGAGTAGCCTTATGTTTATAGATAGGTAATACTAAAAATACCTCATTTCTATAAGTGTTTTCTTTCCGAAAACATTGAAATTGCTAAAACTACTCCAGTAGCAGCTCATAAAACAGAATAAATGAAATCGTTCCCAGTCCAAAATGTTGCTATGGCCTCCCTTAATGCATACGGACCTAAAAGGGACTTAAATTGACCATAGATCGACAGTTGTCTACCTCTCATTTGCAATATTGGGGCATATATATCAATTATTTGAGAGTTTTACATTTTGGATTGTCACTTCATAGTATTTTTTATGGTATGGGTCAGTAAACGAGCAGACCGATTACCTGATAGTAAGCAATAAGCGCCGCCCATGGACACCCGCAACACCAATGAAGTAACGAGTGCGTGGACGACATTTTAGGGACAAAAGTTTCGGATATTTAAGGATTGGAAAAGGATGGGGGGAGGGATTGGGAATCCGACAACCTCACTAACACGGTGAAATACAACGCCGTGTTTTTTTCACGCCAGTTTTCTGTGAAGCCGTGGTATGGCTCCAGTCGAGCCGACCCACTCGTACCAAAGCTTGGCTCTCCCACATTTAAACAATGTCGATTTCTTTGTCCCTATATCCCTATGTATGCTTAAACCTTTAAATCTACGTAACGTATTTTGATGCGGTTCTTTTTAACATATAGAGTCATTGAAGAAAAAAGGTCTATGTGTGCAATTATATCCATCAAATAGTGCAGAATTTTAGCTTCAGCTTTGCACTCGTGCGAAGCCGGGTCGGGTCGTTAGCTGAACACAATTCATATTCCAAAAATAGGCTTAATCTGTTCTTATACACGTGCGTACTGAACAAAACAATTTTTGTCCCCAAACAGGCCGTAGGTACTTATTTTCGTTTGGTTTGTGTATAATGAAAACACCTGAGCTCTTTTGGGTCCACGTAAAGTGGGCTTCACAATATAAACAATTATTCCGGTCCAAAACAAATATTAATTTTGTGTAAATCCCTGTTCATAAGTGAGCCGGTGTTAACTAAATTACATTTTTTTACTACAAATAATATCAGAAGCTACGTTAATATCTAGAATCACTTCAGGGAAAACATCTTTAAAAACAGCCACAAACTACTTCTTCTGTTATTTCTTCGGTTTGAAAACCATAACAAGTTAATAACTTCCGTCTTATTTAGATGGCTCTACTTGGGATTAACGTAATCCTCAAGTGTACGAGACTATTTCCCCATTCCTCACATCTCGGATGCAACATCAGCCTCTAAGTGTAAATAAGCTGTAAAACGGGCTCGTAACGGAATTCGGATCTCAAGTTTACTACTAGTGATGGAACGAGCACCTCTCGACACACCGCCTCCCAACATAAACAGAATCTTGTCAACACGACACTTTTACTCATGGATAGGTACAACGACAATATTTCATGTATTAGGTACCTTATGAATAGTTTATTCGTACATATAATAACTATTCAATATAAATTGATAATCAAATTAGACTTTAGAATCTCATCTATACTAATATTATAAAGAAGTTAAATTTGTAAGTTTGTATGTAGGGGGTAATCTTTGGAACCGCTGGTCGGATTAGCAAAATTCTTTCACTGATAGATAGCTACAATGTTCCTGAGTGCTATAGGCTATAAAACATCACGCTACGATTAAATGGAGCTCCGATCAGTGATTAACCATTTCTTTTTCTTGTCAACAGAAAACTCTTTCACAGTAGTAGTAGAAAAAGATGGCCGCGGTCTTGGAATGTCAGTATGTGGCGGTGGTGGCTTAGTGAGGATACGAAGACTTTACCCCCCTCAACCGGCGTGGAGGACTGGCAGACTCGCCCCCAAAGACCTACTCTTATCCGCTAACGGAGTTCCCCTTGCCGGACTTAGCACCTACGTAAGTACTTATATAAAACCTTCCAAAAAGATTGACGATACTAAAACAACCTCATAACTTGACTGCAAACCACTCCAAACATGATTATACACAAAAATATGTTTCTTCTTTATCTTTGGCAGCTAAAGTCCAAGCACCAATAAATTTTCCCAAATAATGTTAGCATATTGCGCATTTTTTCTTATCTTTAAGAATACCTTTACCAGTGTTATTTGCGAGTGCACGGCCAACATTTTATATTCATTACAACAGAGCCTATGAAATTTAAGTGTGTTGCTTTGCCCTTTACAAAGCTCTGCTTGCATAGCTGTTATGAAGGTACAATCATAAAACAGGGTCTCGAGCTTACAAAAATAAACAGTAAGTCATGTTAAAAATGCCATTTGTTGTCGCAGCACTTCCCTCGCTCCGGAGCCTGGGTTATAAACGTAAAAACTTTTATGAAAACTCCAACGCGGTCCGCGCCGAGGCCTCGGGTTCAAATGTAATAAACTGTAAAATGTCTGCCGCAAAGTCACACCAAATTATATTAGACTGCTGCTATACCGCGCGATGAAAAATAATCTCATTTGTACAGCATTTGTCGTTTCGAGGAATAACCTCTGAAAATTACAAATGCTGCTAAATCACGCGCTTATCAAAGCGATTCCGTAAGCAAACCGAATTCAATACTTACAATAAATAAATGGGCCATTAACTCTGTTTCGTTCGGGAAATTAATTCCCTTCGAGTTCCCTTTATCGGTCACAGCAGGGGCGCCGGGCGCGCCGGTACCCAGTTATTCTCGTCGGTATTGCTTTGGTTCGCAACTTGTGGTTACTTTCTTAGTTTCAATGGCTCAGTTAGAATTACAAAACCACTGGCTGAAAACCTAACGTTTTTTTTTTTCTGTTGTGACGTTAAAGTTTCAGCGGGTTGTTAGTATTTCGCAGCACCTGCTTAAATATACACAAAATGTATTAATTAAATTAGTAATATTAATTCTATCTCAACATAAAATTATATGACGAACCTACTACCGGTATCTGCTCAATTTAACAGTATTCTGTTTTGTATCTCAAAGTTTGAAATTTTCTTGATCCTACGCGATTCAGTTTGTTAAAGACATGAATTTGGTATTCAGAACTCAAAGAAATACCTATCTATCTCAAATACAATCAAAGTATTTCTCTTAAGCGTTACAATTATAAATTAAAACTGAAGAAACTTTGGTAAACAATTAAACATTCATCAGATTAAAACATTTAAAAGCTTTTACTTTATGAATCCAGTGTGTTGTACTTTGAATACTTAATAGGTACAGTTATATCAAAACTGCGGCAACAAACGTTACTGGCATTGGAAAGGTCAGATGTCGGAATCAGGGTTTTTGGAACGTGATACGTCTTTGAAATGTGCCCGCCTGTCAGACTTTTGAGCATTTATCCAGCAACAATTAATCCATGTGTTTAATACTAGGAAGCCCTCGAGGTGCTCCGGACGGCGTCGCCTCGGGTGGAGCTGCGCGTGTGTCGGCCACCAGCAGACGTGCTCGACAGCGTCACGCCGCCGGAGCCGCCGACACCACCGGCCCGCACCCCACACCCGCCCCACCTCCCGCCGCTAGACCCCCTCAACTGTCACCCCATGCATGCCAGGTAAACACTCATTACACTGAGCAACCATAACACGTCACGCTCGCGTAATTTGTCCCCTCGATCATCCCACGCTCTAAGGTCATTCATGTCGTGCATGATAAATAAACCAAACACGGTCTGGAGCCACACAGATTTCTGTGTAGCTTCAATGTTATCGTACAATACCTCGTGTCATTAAGGACAGACAAACAACCTCGGTACGTGTACCTGGAGATTACAAATGTATAGGTGAGGAGACATGAACGTCAGTAAGCACATCACGTTATCAGAGTTCCCATTTTATTATATCGCAAAATCGGATGTTAACTGACCAAGCCTGTTCAGACGAGTATGTACTAACTCTATGTTGTATCACTTGGCTTTGATCTACGGCATTAAATACAATCTGTAGTTAAAGAGATCTGATATAGATAGCGGCGGAACATGACCTTTAACATTTCTTGTGTCCAGACTGTCTCAGACGACGAGCAGCGCGACCACGTCGTCGTCGGAGGGGCGCGGGCGGCGCGAGGCGAGCCCGGAGCCCGACCGACGCGATCTGCGACTGCCGGACCTCGACCGTCCACTGCCTGTTTACGACGTGCAATACGGGGTGAGGATATTTTATACAAAATTTGTCACCACATATTGCATCAGCATTTAAAACCAAGACTAATTATTATACCTCGGAATGAAAGCTACTTTCATTGCGTGAGAACGTTTCCCAGAGAACCGTCTGTATAGCATTCACATCCTAAAAGCGCTTTAAACGTCTCGGATTATGTACTGCAACAAAACAAATATTTACTCAGGTGGAACCGAGCTTATCACGGGAATAGAAAAATTATGAGCACTTTTTCTTGTTCCTTTTCGAACGATCAAACGATTTATTTCCTGGTTTCTCGCTGAGGCTAATTTACTGTATCTGACGCTAATTCATTTTATCGGATTTTAACGTAGCGAACACGCTTTGAGAATTATAAATAAATTCATAATCTGAGAACTAAAATAAATACAGTTTGCAACAGTTTATCCTTCACTAGCAAACCTTTAGTAATGTTATCAGACTTTTTACTGATAGACTAACCACCATGAAATTCTTGGTACTGTTCTATTGCAGTTACCAACAAAATAAATTACACGTAATTTCCGTTTCTTTCTACCCAAGACACAGTCACGAAGTCCACATTTTAATTGCATTCGTGATTTATGTTTTAATATTCATCTCGTTGAATTTTCTTGTTATTTATCCATTAGCGTTATTAATGGATACATGTTTTAATACGTGATCAGGCGTTACTGGCTGATGGATTAGCCATCATATTTTTCCAAAAGTAATTAAAGCTTAGTTTAGAATATAGTAGGGTACGTAACTTAAGGATCAAAATATCCGAACGTTATAATCGTGAGAGCGTATTTTGTAAGGCAAGCCATTTGTTAACAGGCGTTATATTTAATGAGGTATAATTTCACCAGTATGCGAGTACGACTCAGTAATATAATCTGTGCGAGTTATTAATAAAGCTCTTTGTTCACGCCTACAGGATGACGGATCAGTGGTAAGTTCGTTTTAACTAATGTTGTATTATGGAAATTTAATTTATACGCAGTGGAGCTGTTATAAGCCTGCTACAGGAGCTAACGCTCAAATCCCGGTGTTAAATCGGATGTCGTAATCCTGTTATGAGAATTAAAATAGACAGCAAGTAGATTTAATGGTTAGACCTATAAATAGTATAATTAATTGTAACATCTGATAAAACCGAACTATAATAGCTCTCAGATAGGAAAACAACCGATCAACAATATCGCTATTTTCGTACATCGAAACTAAGACTGATTGGCGAAGAGGAAAACATCGTAAATGTATTCTGATCAAAATAAATTATGTTTCGATGTACCAGGAGAGCATGAGAGTAATGATGTTAAGTTTAGCGCCCTTTGTCACGTTTTGTATGGAACACTGACGCAAGTTGCATGCACTGAGTGCCAAGCATTTGGCACGGTGACTGACAGACGATTATACCTAGACGCCACACTAGTTCCGCTTCCATAGAGCCGAGACCGAGAAATTCAGTGTTGGCAACAGTTTCCTCATAGTACAAAATTAACTATTTAAGAAGACGTCGCCTCAAAACGTGTAAATAATAGACTACTATACAATTACATCATAAACCTAACTGAAAGGACAATAAGTTTAATGTAAACCACGACAAATCCATAAACCGTTTTATGTCGTAAATATTTAAAAATAAACATTTAATAGCCCTCAGATCTTCGCAATTTCTACCCACGTCCACAATTAATCAAAAATGTTTATTTTCAGGAGTTCGATATAGTAATGACCAAAGTAAACGGTTCTTTGGGCTTTACACTTCGGAAGGAGGACCACAGCGCTTTGGGGCATTACGTCAGAGCTCTGGTGAGGGAACCTGCGCTCAGTGATGGGAGGATACAACCCGGCGATAGGATTGTTGCTGTAAGTAATTTATCGTAATAGCTTTGTTAAGGAAAATACACCAAACTGTATGTAAAACTCACATTTCAATATTTACGTTTAGTCCCAAGAAAAATGAGACGATAATATTGCCATTGACGAGCGATGAAACTAGAGAGCTCTTGTATTAATTAAAAAACATAGTGCATTATTAGCCAGACGCAGAAAGGCGGTAAAACACTCACAGAGCATGTTTATGAATACTTCCTTCTGAACTTCTGAACCATTTTAATAAAGAATGAAAAGACTAAGAGTATCCTCATTATTCTTTCGTTATGAGAAACCGTTGCAAACTCGCGAATGTTTTAGTTCCTGGCTTAACAAAAGACTTATAATTAAACGCATAAGTAGGTACCTATAATAAAGTCATTCTTGACTTATGACTCATTAAAATTAAACGAGCTGAAAGTAGACTAACGATCGTGAATGTTCTTCGAAGACACTTGAATCAATACCAGTGTCCTACTAATGAAGAAACGGTTTTACACAAACATCACGAGTTCGGTATGTTGTTTGTGAAACGATGCTATTGTCTCGAAATTGGCAATTCGATAAATTGCTAACTTTCGAACGAAAAGATAACAATATTTTGAATTTCTTAAAAATTCATAAACTGTACAAGTTGATCGAGTGTTTGTATGCACTAAGCGATATGAATCAGATAAATTCTCATTTAATACTAACTTTTTAAGTGGAGGTCTACAATTAGGAACTTAACCCTTATACCTATAAGGGCTGTAACTCTTAACTAGGAAAACGACAGCGTCACAGAAGGGTTGCGAGTGCAAGCGCAACAATACAGGTACCTGGCTTGGAGCAGAAAGAGGAACAGTGTGGTTTTATTCACTAAGAGAAAATAAGAGTCTGCCACTCCTCCTTTAAAACAAACCACAGAGGTTTAACACTTTACGGGGTTGCGGGTTAATCGAAAGAGGATACCACAGCCTCGGCCTGAAGCAAGATTAGGAAGGGGGGGTCTTAGTCAGTAAGACTCTCATACTCCCTCCAGAGAAGTCATTTGATGATTTTCTCCTCCTCGAAAAACCACATAGGTATAACACTACCTTATCACCTACAAAAAAGGTGATAAAACATAAGTTATTTACATCGTTCAATATAAGTAAAGAGATTAACGTATATTTTGTTCCATTTTACAATAAATACGGACTTATAAATGACCGTTGAAAACAAAAGAAGGATATGGTCTTCATCCAAGGATATGAGAGAATATATAGGCTCAAAAAACAACGTAGAACATTAGGGTTCCTTACACTTTTTGTTCAGAATAAGGTTCATCCAGTACTTTCTCAGTTCTTTTTTTTTAGAATTATGATGCATTATGAAGAACTGATAGAACTCATTAATTAAAGATTGTGCTATCCTGCGCTACTATCATACAACTCAATGACATTAAACTCGATATTGCAAATAAAAAATGAACAATCTTTTAAACCGGATGTTTTTAAAAACCATCCTATAACTAGATCAGCAGAATATCGATTAACTGTAAACGAAAGTGATTCTATTATGCAATTCATCGTCAAGACAGGTTTAGGATCAGACTACAAGATTAAAAACCAAAGTAATAGTTTCACGTTGTTACTACTCTCTTGAATAAATAGAAATTTATTTAAGTGAGTAGAAAAGGTCACATATTCACATACGTCTGTGATGGAAAATACGTGTCAGAAAGTTGAGGCGTTTTTATAGAAAGTGCTGAAGAAGCTCAGGGCCGACAGCTTAGTGTGTAATTAGCCGTGTGTAAGAGCGATTACTGACAAAAGTTCTGGTAAAAACCCCCAGCATAAAACATCTAATGCACCACATACGGATACCGAAAGCATTATTCACATTCCGCATTTATCATCTCACGGTCATTAACCCCTGTGTACAGGTGAACGACACAGCGATGTCTAACATGTCGCACGCGGAGGCGGTAGCGTTCTTACGAGCTTGTGGCTCCGAGGTGCGCCTGCGCCTGTACCGCGATCACGCAGCCACGCCGCTATCGCCAATGTCACCGAGAGAAGAGCCTACGGACTCAGACGCGCCTATGAATAGGCCTAAACCCCCGCTGAGGTAACACTCCATTACATAAATATCTCCATGACATGTTTAATACAATTACATAGATGTTTCTATGTGTAAATGTCGCAACCAAATAGTTGAATTAGACATCCAACCAACGGGGTAAATGGCTAGTCGTTTGATGGTATGGCTAAATTTCTCAATCGGGGTGTAAGTTGAAGAGTGAAGATATTGTCATAAAGACCGCGTTGCTACTAAACTTTAGGTTATGTAAGAGCTGTGAAAGACACAGAAATGGAAAAGCCATCGCAAATAGACAGCTACTCACATTGTGCAGTGATTTTGCAGTGACATACACATTTTCCTCATTCATTTGTTTTGTTTACAATATCTAGATTAGTCTTCAAGAAGTTAAAACTGTTTATGGTTATTTCAAATTAGTGTAAAGTAAAAGCGCATCGAAGGTTCAATATAAAGGTAATATCACGTTGCAAATTCTGCTTAATTTCCTGATTGTATAGTTCATATTAATCCTGTCTAACCAACCTACTACCTACTAAAATCAACTATTCAGGTCATCAATTTACATTGTTAACGTAATTTAAAGTTCGAAACTCATTTTCGAATTTTATAAAGATTCAGAATGAAAGGGAAATCTTATGCAATCAGGCCTGAAGCAGTATCAATGTTGTGCGACCTGGCCGCTCGGCGCCTCACCCCTGATGCTGCAGACGGTTCCCGATCACCCTGTCTCTCACCCCGCAAGTACCGCAAGCTGACGAAGGATAACAACCACTACGAACAGCCCAATGGTATGTAGCCCCGATCTTGGTAACGATGACGACATCAATGTTATTAAACAAAGAGTTAGATTAGGATTTTACATTTCGCTTTGCCGTGGGACGAGTCTTGGAAGTATCTTTCGCCTTTTTACATCTTAGATGGTTTTTTTTGACAATAATCAAGGTCAAAGTCAAAGTCAAAATCATTTTTATTCCAACTGAACTATAAATAGGTACTTTTACAACTTACTTTTAAAAGGTCAACAGAGAATAGTAGTCAGTCTGTTTGTCAGTGAAGCTAGGTGCGCTAATCCAATGGAAAAATAACAAACAGTAGGTACTTACCTAATACAAAAAACTTTCAGAGTCTGACCGAATTCCATTTGTTTCGGGTTGTCACCCGCTCCGACGTTTGTAACCCCAACCTGAGAGGTTAAACTTGTTAAGTGATTAACTGATCGAAAGTGCCGTAAATGGATTAAAGGTGAACCTAACCTTTCACTCGGCGGGTTAAAGCGTTGTCACTTAATCGTCCATAACACGTCAATTTCCGCAGCCCTAATGGTTTTTCTAATCATGACGTCATGGGCCGTAGCTATTTATAGACTTATCGATTAAGTATACTAATATGATATCATTTTACCCATAACCTTAATATATTTACGAACAAACGTAATTCAATTGATTATACGTTATTTCACAAAATATCTGTCTAATAAACGTGAGTATAAATTTAGTACGTAGGTACATACCTACTTACTACGTCATATAAATTAAATCCTACAATTGAATTTCTTTATTAATAACCTAAAATATGTAGACTCGCTGAAATCATATTACGTGTTACGAGCCCATGATATATTCAAAGCACAAATGAACGTAATTATCTCCGCTCTGTGTTCATTAACTAATCCTCATTACCATGGCAAACAGCAAGACGGATGTATATTTATCACCCAGGTGGATCCCGGATAGCCTAATTAAATAAGCCTGCACAAAGCTAGTAAGCTGCTAGAACTTTGCTAACCACATTTAACACTTTATCATACAATAACACGCCACACACTAAGCGATGTAGGTTTTCCACGCAGATGTTCCAAGTTCCGACAAAGTAGAACACGGTTCGGAACATAGAGAAGTGGTTGAGGAGTCGAGGCGGCCGGTGCGGACTGTGTCCCTCGCCAGCCCCACGGCACCACCCACTTGTAGAAAACAAAAGTTGAGCCTGACAGGTGAGACGCTGTCGGCCGCACACTGTCCAATCATAAACCCATCGCTTCACACCTTGATCCAAAGCAGCGTATAAACTGACTGTCGGATTCCGAACCATACCTGGACTATGTTTACACACCATCGTAGCGTACAGCACTTCATAGATGTTCTTCGGTCATTTGACATTACCCCGAAGAGTTTGTGTATAGCCTTATGTGCGTGATCTCCTACTTCGATGTCATTTGCACTCATAAATGTCGTCAAAACTTAATAATAAAGAAGACTGTTAACAAATAACGAAACTTTCATAGGAATCAGATCTATTTCAGATATCATTTGTGAAGATCGTACTAAAAATTAACTACCTACCTAATCGATTTGTTAACAGTTTTCGTGATTATAAAAATGGCTGGTAAAATTATATGTTTGTGGAATTCCAGTGCCTCCCCACGGATACGAGTTAAACAATTTGGACAATGACACTCTGGACGCTCCGAACGTGTACCAGGAGGACATGTCACGTCAGAGGTACACGGAGCCAGTTTTCCCCGTGGACTCTGACGAGCCAGTGTCGATGCCTGTGGAACTGCTGAGCGACGAGGCGCGGTTCAAACATGCGAACCCTGCTTATCAAAGTGCAGTGCTCCATACAACTAGCAGCGATGGGCATACGACTAGTTCAGAGAGCCACAAAGATGATGGTGAGTGTTGTTTATTACAAAGTTTATATTAATATTTGCGGTATTCCAAAAACCTATGCTTTTTTATGGGATATGTCGGCAAACGAGCAGACGGATTACCTGATGGTAAGCAATCGGCGCCGCCCATGGACACCCGCAAGACCAAAGTAGTAACGAGTGCGTTGCCGGTCTTTTGGGGATAAGGGTTACGGATGTTTAAGGATTGGGAAGGGGGAGGGACTGGGCTTCCGGTAACCTCACTCACACGGCGAAGCAGAACGCTTTGGTTGTTTCACGCCGGTTTTCTGTGAGGCCGTGGTATCACTTCGGTCGAGCCAACCCATTCGTGCCGAAGCTTGGCTCTCCTACACTTTTATGTAATAAACTATTTTTTTGTCTTTAAGTAGGTAATATTTCAACGTTTTCATTTCAGGTAACGGTTTGAAGAAATGGAAAGGCGTGGCATTGTCTCCCGACAACGAGCGTAAGGTGAAGACGGATCCTCCCCCCCAACCCAAACCCAAGGAAACCGATCCCGTCCAAAAAGAAAACGTCAAACCTGAACCGCCTAAAGATGACACGTGTAATGAACCTACGGTTAGTTCACCCTTAACTTTTAAAATGGCTTTGGGCCTAGGCAATACTTGCCGTGTGGTATCGACCGAGTGTAACATTGGTCACCATACCACCGCTCACACGACACCTGTGCTTCCTCCAAATTCCAGTCCAATTGCCATGAATAGAAATATGTATAGAAAGGCCAAATGGTTCACATACCATACCATCATTAAGAGTCAGTCGGGTTGTCTTAGGTTTGCGAAAGGCGAGCAAAGGCTGGCCGACCAGAATCAGACCCAAGCGCGTCGCGTTCCCGCGCTCTGCTCAAAGGTCCATTAAACCACCACAGATGAGACCCTAGTACTGAGAATTGCAGGTATAAGCGCGATAATTTACCGCGGCCCCGACTCGGAGTAGAGAAGAAACGGGACTGTTTCGTTCAGTTAGAGACTGGTAATCCCTTTTACTCCACTAAACTCAGGGTAGGAGAAATCATGGAACGATTTTTCCGCTTCGAAAAAAACGAGCTGAACATACATAAATAATAAATTGGTTGTTTTTCATCATATCATCAAAAGAAATATGATAAGGCTTGCATTATTTTATCAAGACATTTTTTAATATTGCATAACTTTTATATGGCGCACATTTATTTATTTTTAATAGGTAAATACGGCCAGTATTCAGTTTGTAAATTCTACTATTTATCCTCTACCGGTACCTCTAAAACATCCCCCTTTTATGAAGACTTACCTAAATCTGATTACAAACGTGCAACTTACTGCTAAATTTTCATTGCCTTTTATTTTTCTTCCAACGTTATTAACGAATCACTTCTCCCATTCCAGATAGTAACAGTGGAACTGAATCGTGGTTGGAACAGTCGACTGGGTTTTAGTGTTCAGAGTCATCCTGAGTCTGGTCAAAGCTACATCTCGGCTGTGTACAACGACAGTGTGGCCGCTCGAGATGGACGACTGAGGAGGGGTGATGTGATACTGCAGGTAAAATTTTACACAAAATATGTATAGTTTAAGTCACAGATATAGCTCAAATTATAAGTAAACAAAAACTGAAGTGGGCAGGCCACTTAATTAGGTATTAAACGGAAAATGCGCAAAACATATAACAGAATTGAAAAAGTGCGAAAAAAGGCAACGCAGATAGGAAAACGACTTTAAATTCGCAAGACCATCTTGGAGGTTCAAAGCACTTAGCCGCGTGCTATGGCTAACTCTTAGCGAGGCCTATGCTAGGCAGCAAGACAATCTTATCGAACTGGTCTTATTATATAATATTATACATGTGTAAAAGGTCAATATGAAATGTAAGATTGTTGATAAAGACTTTATTACCATTATTTTTCTAAATATTAGTTTGACTGCACGGCGGTGCGGTGGCTGGGCAACTGGCTGCCGTGCAACGTGTCGCGGGTTCGATTCCCGCACGGAACAACACTTTGTGAGATCCACAAATTTTTGTTTCGGGTCTGGGTGTCATGTGTATGTGACATTGTATTATGTTTGTAAATGCACCCACAACACAGGAGAAAATCCTAAAGTGGGGCAACGTTTTAAAAAAAAAATGAGCATGAAACTGCATTATACTCCTATCTTTAGTACCTACTTTTTTAGTATATTATAAAATTATTTTGACTTTATTCATACATACACACGAATTGAAATCCTTCTTCTTTAAGAACGATTATTTATGTTTCAGGTCAACGATGAGAACGTGACATCAATGAAGACACCAGAAGTGATCGACCTGCTGCGAATATTAAGAGGCTCAATTTGCATCACTGTACTACGGCCACCGAACCCACAGTGAACAAATACTACCTGTGTATTATATGGATGAAGCTCACCCCTAGGCCTCGAAGGAACAGGTCTAGCTGGAGAAGTGGCAGTCGCCCCGTCGGCTATACCGAGCTACGGGCGAAATACTTAGAAAAAGTAAAACAACATAAATGAATCTCTATCCAACACAATTCGTCGATGTACCTTCATGACATTTAACATTCTATAAAAATAAATAATTGAAATATAAAGCAACACATTCGACATTCGAGAGAATCTTCACAATATTCATAAGTTACTTCTTTGATTTGCAAAGTCGAATATTTAATGTATTGTGTATATCTATAGATAGAAGATTCGGTTATATTATCGTGTATTTTTTATAATATATTCAGGAGATTTTGAATCATCATAGCTTCATTATTGAATCTTACATGTGTAATGTATATAAGCCATACTATCTACTCTAATACATGCTGTTTTGTTAAAGTTCCTAATAGAGAATCGTGCTAAACTTATGTCTCCGTCGTAAATTATAAATTTCATATACTTAATAAGTTACCTAATAAAATAATTTATTTTCGGAAAGATCTCTGTAGCTATTTCATAGACAATTGATTAAGAATATAAAAACTATGTATATTTAAATCATTATATTTATTTATCTATCTTACCCGACCAATATAGATACTCAAATTTAGTCTTTAAAAAAAAATGTATTCTATTTTATTTGAAAACATTGAAAAGGCAATAACAGCGTTTATTTAGACTAATGACTATTAAAATTATGGAACTTTAAAATTATTATATTCTTATTAGAAATTGACTTACAAAGTAGAGTTTTTAAATATAAGAAACAAATTAAGGCGTCTGGCGGCCTACAAACGTGCAAAGTCCCTTGCCTAATAAAAAGTAGACTATGTTATAGTAGAAAATATTAAAATGTCATGAAGTATAGCATTCCAAGAGGTTAGCCTTTGTAAATAATGTAAAGTTAAAAGACAGTTTACGTAGTTGTTTCGATGTTAGGTTACGAACAATTGTCAAATGCAACAAATAAGAAGCGAAAAAAGTTTTTAGTATTTTTATGGTTCGATAATATTTTGCTCAAATATTATATTATCTGTAGTGAGACCACGATGGCAGCTTTGACAATTGTACGTAGCGTAATGTAACCACGTTTTATTAACATATTCGTAGCGTCACGAGATTATTATCGTGTAGGTTTCATGGACACACAGGTTGTGTGTTCCATGCGATCTATCCAGATCTCTGGGCAATAATTATAAAAGTACACGAGTTTGTCGAAATACGCTAGATTGACAAACATAACTAAAACATTTGAGTTAGATTGCTAATAAAATTAAAAAATATTGCATTATACGCTATACTTCCTATAGGCACTGATTATAAATTCTAGTCAAATCTAAATTTTAATTGAAATTATTACACGGTTAGCCTTTGAAAAATATTATATTATATTGAATTAAAAACAGTAGTTAAATTATATTCTTACATAAATAAATAAATAAAATAAAATATTATACAATATTCACACTTTTGATTTGTCATAAGGTGTCTACTTGTTATGAACTTGAAAGATTTTATCAACAAATCTATTTTAATATTAACGATGCTAGGCTTAAGTCGATAGAATAATTGTTTAGAGAAGTACCTATAAAGAAGATCATTACCCACAAAACAAGCTGAACGAAACAATCAACTGATATTCTAAAGTAATTGTGATGGAATTGTGTTAGTTTAACCGTGTATCGTACGTACTAGACTAAATTATGTGGAACTATTTAGGTGCAGATTGGCCCAGCGAACCAACTTCGTAGGTATAACGCATTCTGATATCACTCAGAAATAATATGTAAATTAAATGCGAATATACTAAAAATATTAAAAGATTTAACGCACCTGAGTTTTCTCATCAATACTATTTTATGGTAAAAATGTAACTTTGTACAAATTACTAGCGCTAAAAGCGATTTTACTATGAAAAAGAATTGGCAACGTTTTAATTTTCATACATTGATATACGAAATGCTAGGTTTCGCAATGACCTCATAGAATAAATGGGTAAATAATTCGAAGACTATCAGAAATGTATGAAGACAAAGCAATGAGTAATCACGATGATAACAGTCATGCAGTCTTGCAGAACATACTCCGTGTCACGAACTTCGTGACACTCAAGTCTTGTCACCCTTTAACGTGTTAGGACTTACAATAAGAACAAGTTTATTATCCATTGTAAAATACGGGGTTAATATTTTTTCCTATTCGATTTTCAAATCAGAAAGCGTTGGGTGAAGTTCATAGTTTATATTTGTCATTTTATTTTTAAATTTAGAATGTATAGGTACCATTAGAGCCCAAATGACGAATAAATTTTATTACTTCCGAATGTGGTGTGATAAAAACTGTTTCAATTAATTTGGTTTTAATAGAAATATATTTTTTTGTTATATTTTATTCTTACCCGTTTTCAAAATCAATTAAAGTAATTCTGGTAGTCACGAAATATTTACTCATATAACCTCATCATATTCCCATACAGGTAACTGGTGCTTCGATCACGATTGCACAGCGCTTGCTAGTCTCATGCCTTAATAAAGTCTGGGCCGTAGCTATGATGAAGATAAATAAATAAATACATTCACAAAGTGTCGTGTCAGTCATAGAAATGTTAATGGAATGTACGATAAACTTAATTACATTACTATAATACAAATAAAAATATGAATTAAAGTTATTATGCTGTATTATTTTTCTTGACAAATTCTTCAAATTTGAAAATGGACCCCATGGCACCGAATCTACGTTCAACTATTGAGCTTAAAGAGAGATTAAATAAAATAAATAAATGATTCAACTATATCTGTTAATTATTTCAACAGAAACTCTATCATGTGTAAATTTATCTTCCCATCAAACTTACCCACCTGATCGTTAGGAGTGTTAGAAAAGGAGTGCCATCTGTTTCCCTTAAACAAAAACAAACGACGAAACAAACAGAAATGTTGGAGAGTCATGCTAGTGTACGAGAGCCTTGCAGTGCTTCGGCACGAATGGGTCGTCTCGACCGGAGTGATACCATGGCCTCACAGAAAACCGGCGTGGAACAACCACAACGTTGTGCTTCTCCGTATGAGTGAGGTTATCGGAAGCCCAATCCTTCCCCTCCTACCATCCCTCCCCAATCCTTAAATCTCCGAAACCCTAATCCAGAGACGGCCTGCGACGCACTCGTAACTCTTCCGGTGTTACCACCAGGTAATGTGTCTGTTTGTACGCTGTCCTACCACAAAAAAGGCATTTCATGTCTGACCGGTCGGAGGTGTGAGTCAAACGCAATGACATATTATAACCCAGCTCGAGGCAATAATACTAACGAGCTAGTTTTAGTCAGTATCACTCTGATACTCTGTCGCTTCAGCACTGGCTAGAAAAATTATTCGGTTATTATTCCCGGGCGTTTCTGACTACTCAACTACTCAAATATTGTCTAACTTATTTTCCTTATTTCACGATTGTGTAAAACTCGATGACGTTCATATTTCATGCTCTTTCACCCGTCTCTCACCTATTACGAATGCAACTAACCATCGGGCGGAACAATCGAACGGTGCCTTCGTAGCATCGATCCATAACACTAGTAAACACGCCATTAGCGTCGGCCATTTTTTGTGGCGTCGCGTGCAGGGGGAATGCAAATGAACATGTACGTGTGACGTCATCCGATTTGATGCAGGGATGAGCTTGCGTGTTATGTAATCGAGTGTCACGTATAGATACTCGATTACATTTATTTTATTCATTACAAAAAGAGCTTTCATATAGTGTTTCAAGTGTGGGAGAGCCATGTATCGGCACGAATGGGTCGACTCGCCCGGACCATACCACGGCCTCAAGAAGAAAACCAGCGTGAAACAACTACAGCGTTGTGTTTTGCCGTTGGAGTGAAGTTACAGGAGGCCCAATCCTCCCCCTTCCCAAATCCCTCCTCATTCCCAAAATTACAAATCCCTAATCCCTAAAAGGTCGGCAACGCACTCGTAACTCCCCCGTCGTTGCGGGCGGCGCGCTGATTGCTTACCATCAGCGCCGCCCGCACAGCAGCTTGGTAATTTGCCGACCTATCACATAAAAAAATAGAGGTTTGTTATAACAAATGAAATGTAGCATTTTAGAACATACATAGATTGCTTATATCCATTGTCCACCCAGCTAACGCAATGCAAGAAGGGCGTTGTGGCGAAATCGAACCTGATCCTTAATATTATGCAGCACTGCAGTCTGCAGTCTTACGATCTCTGACCCGAGACTTTCATAGAACCGATTAGGTCAATGTCAATATCACTTGTACCAAAAGTACCGCTTCAACGGCCGAACTGAACTATTCGCCCGTTAGAGGAAAATTCACCGTGAGTTTTTTATTGGTACCTGTCTATCGGTGTCGGATTTTACTTTCTAGGGTTCAGTAAGTACTTGTATGACGCTTAAGCACCAAGTACCAAACTCTTATTGTGTTATTGTAATTTTCTGACTTAAATTGCTTTTTTGCACCAAACCCCAAGCAAGCTCCGGCGTTCGCGCTCATATTGTTCTTCAATTGGTAAGTGGTAAGTTAATCCTAACAAAAAACCACTTAGGTTTACCAAAAAATTAGGTAAATTTCTCTAAACAAAAATGAAAATCATAAAAAATACGAGAACATTTTTAAATTTCTCTTGTAAATCTAGGTACCTACAAAGAATTTGACTGTACAGTTGGCGCGGTGGCTAGGCAACCAGCTGTCGTTAAACGTGTAGCGGGTTCGATTCGTGCACTCTTTATGTGATCCACAACTTCCTAGTTTGGATGAAATTGTATATTTGTAAACGTATCCACGACACAGGAATGTAATTAATGAACAATTTATGAAACTAAATATTTTTAAAACAGCTGTTATTCAAAACGAGTAAAAAACGCAATTAAAAGTTTAGACACGTATAAACTTTAAAACAGATTATGTAATACCAGTTAACAATCTAAATATCCTTGAAAAAAGTTTATCCTTGGTCCTTGAGCTTAGTCTGAAGTTGTAAGTCTGTCTGTCGTAGTAATTCGTAACCCGCTTAAGGAACAGTTAAATTTCTTCGTGGTACCTAGTAAGTATGGTCAGTAGCATATGGTTAACGTCACGGTCACCGAGCGTCCACCGGCCACCGCCTGCCCGAGGGAGCCCGCCTGCCTCTCACGCTTGGCTGACAAACGTTCCAAAAAAAAAACAACAAAATACCTATTACAAACTATCATGCATAATGAAATCAGAAAGCTTTTGTACTTCTATACTATAATCTAAATTAAAAACCACAAAAAATATTCCGTAGATACCTCACGCAGCTTAAAGAAAGTCAATTCAAAAATGGTGTCTTCGTTAAATTGGATTTTACTTACATTGTTGGTCGGTAATCTGAACAGAGTCGTTGACTAAGACCACCCAAGTAATGGTAAAGTGAGAAACGGTCAAAATTCATACAAAAAAGTATTCGTACCTACAAGTGCAAGAATAATAAAAAGCTATTTAGTAACGGAATCGAAATACAAACGGGATCGATCCATTCACGTAGTACAAAAGGTATTAATTTGACGGTGCAAAATAAAAACACTAACATCATCGTGAACCATGAAGAAAACGTAACTGGTTGAAAAATGAACAAAACTAGTTTTGGTAAAAAAATAAAAAAAATCGATGTTACACAATGGTGTGTAAGCTTTGATATCTCTCATCGATTTGTGAAACATCTAGAAATCAAATAAGTACAAACCAAAACATAATTACAAAAAAAAGTTTTAAATACATTTGTAGTTCTCATCGCGTTAATTGATACGAATTCATAACCAATCATAAGTACTCATAATCCATGAAATAAATAAATAGTAGTAAATTGGATATTTACTTCATGTCATAACCGTAATTGATGTATTCGCAAAGGAGAATACGGGGTTGCGAGTGCAACTCCCTCTCGCCCCACCTAGGACAAAAGAAGAAAAGAAAACAAAAAAAAAATGGTGTTACTACTACTTAATAAAATATTTGAAACAAAATTAAATATCAAAAATTCATCAATTATAACAAAACGGACTTCCTTAAAATTCTCTCTTCTTCCACACGGTTGGTATGTCAAGGCTTACGTTTAATTTAACAAAAACAAACATTTCAACCTCCGAATATCTATGCTTTACTTCCTTACACTTAAATAGTATAGCTACTAAAGTAGCTATAGATGTTCATATGAGTACTGAGCCCCTAAAGCCAACAAAACTTCGGTGTTAATGTGTGCAAGGGGATGTGGAAAAGCGATGGTTCGTCGCAAAAGCAGGCAGGAAAGGCAGTCGTGAGCGGCGCGCGGTCTAGTACACCTGTCGATAGTAGTGCGTGCGCGCCACAGGAAGTGCAGTGAATTAACCGATCAAACAGTTCCACATACGTATTCAAAATTCGAAAGCGATCACAATTTTTTATAGTCTGTGCTTGTCAAGGACATTTTTTTATCTGTAAGTATTGTAAGTTTCATTGTTATTTTTAGATGTTTTTGGTATTATTTTCGTGATTGTTCAAAAGTATTTTTGTGTTTTTCAAGCTTATGTTTATTTTTATATTTTATTTGTTTAAGTATATGTTTTCATTAAACTGTTGGTGAAATTTTTTGGCAATCATTTCGATCACACAATATTCCATAATAAAATTATTTTTTGAAGTGTTATAATATAATATTTATTTAATAGTACGAAATCAAATAAATTATAGCTTATCCAGCATAGGTACTTTGATGTAAAGTGTGTTAATGTGATAGGACGGAGGCTAGTAGAGAAATAATGCGGACGTATCGGGTTTATATGTTGCAAACGACATCAATGTGACAGGTCATTAGTCCTCTCCACAGTATCTAGAGTATGACACTTGGACACCGTTATGAATAAAAACACTAACTTATTTAAGTACAAAAAATAACTTATTTAAGTAAAATAAACTCCCGTAAAATGATGACCAGACATAAATACATAATTAATTAACCAAACTAATTATGATTATTGAAGTAAAAGTTAATATTTAATTAAGTAAAGGGCCGAGATGAATTGCAAGTAAAATTCACGCTACTTGACACTTGTAGCGTGAAACATTTTCTGTTTGTACGCCAGACCCGCATAGACAAATTATGCCGTTAAGTAGATCGTGACAGATCAAATCGCGATTTATGGGTCAGCTAATATTGCCTTTTACATCCAATCTGTGACTTGGACAAGAAAGCAACTAAACGAATTGACATACACAATTCGATGTAAAATTTTCTCATATACACGGCATCAATCTTTCTTAAGAATACTATTATTATTCAACCGTAAGCACTCTATTCTTTTAAGTAACCGAATGACACATGAACTTACATAACGTAATTAGCCAAACAATCCTGAGAACAATTAGTAGGAACCAACGTCTCTGTCACGAAACAAGAACATTCATATCACTGCTCTCGACATTTCATACAAAATTACTCTAATGTGAAAATAAGTGCAGCAACTTAACTACAATAAACACTTTCATTTCTCCGAATTAATTATGCAAACAAATTTATTGCGCGACCGAGTAACAATGGTATATCTTCTGAAATTCTCATATTTTTTGAATGGTTACACGAAACTGATCTTATCGTGTCATCTTGATTTAATTC